CACTGAGATGCCAGTGGTGACACCTGTAGAAACCAGTCACCCACTGAAATTCCAGCCTCGACCAGTTGTTGAGCCTTCTCCACCTTGTCAATAAAAATGACCTCAGCCCCGTTCATGCAGCTGCGGACCTGATGGACCCATGTCCAACCACCTCCCCCACCGCTAAACAAACTTCCTCCATGCTGCACGGAGAACCAGCACCACCTTGATGACGTTTGTCAGCGTGGAGAATCCCCCCGTGTCACCTGCTGCCACCATGGAGTCTAGACGCCGGCCAGCCAGGTGCGCCTGACGGCCACACCCCATCAAACAAACTTTTTAAACTAATAAAACACCAAACCCCACAATTAAATAACTAACATGAACATAAACACCAAGTGAACGAAGTAGAAAAAGGACAGAAAAACCGAATGAATGCACACTCTCACTTTCTGCTCCTCTGCTCTTCCACACACACTCCTCTCACACCAAGAACAAGAAGAAGAAGAAAAAAGGAAAGAAGAAAAGAAGTTGATGTTGGAAACGTGGAAAAAATTAAACATTTCTTGTTAAAACTGTACAGAATGCAATTTATAAGATTGCGCAATGGTCTTATAAATGGAGTTTTAAATTTTCTGTTGATAAAACGAAACTTATACTTTTTACAAAAAAAGTAAATCGTGAAATAAAATTGAAGTTATACAATCAGGACATTGAGTGTAAAACAATTCAAATTCTTAGGATTATGGTTTGATGAGAAACTGAACTGGACATTTCATATTCAAAAGATTATAGACAAATGTAAAAAGATACTGAATGTAATAAGATGTTTAGTCGGATACGATTGGGGTGCAGATACACAAGCATTAAAATTAATTTACATAAGCCTTATAAGGTCAACAATAGATTATGGTTGTTTAGTATGGATCAGCTTCAGACACAGCTCTCAGAAAACTGGATACAATTCAGTACCAGGCTCTGAGATTAATCTCAGGTGCAATGAAAACAACTTCAGCTCTACAGGTAGAGACGGGAGAAATGCCACTAACATTAAGAAGGAGACAATTATCATTAAATTATTGGGCTAATCTAAAGGGACACAGTCAAAATCATCCTGCACAGGTAATTTTACAACAGTGTTGGGAGATGGACAGAGCAGACAACAAATTTCATGTCTTGAAAATAATACAGGAAACAAAGGAATTAGAAATACATCATTTAAAAATCAGTCCGACTGTGCCATTATCAAAAATTCCACCGTGGATTATACCTGAGGCCAATATAGACTTAACTTTGTTACACAGAAGGAAAATAGATAAAACATTCATATGTAACTCAACAATAGTACAAGAGTACATAGAGAAATATTATGATTATGTAAAAATTTATACAGATGCTTCCCAGAGTCCGTCAGGTGATACAGGAGTAGCAGTTATAATTCCAGAATTAAACTTAACATAGGGAAGAAAGTGAATGAAGGACTCTCTGTTTATTCTGCAGACATGGTTGCAGTAATGTTAGAATGGAATGGGTAGAAGAAACAAGACCTTTAAGAGCTCATCTGTTCTGATTCAAGCTCATCATTAATCAGTTTACAAAGAAGTCACTCAGAAAGTCGTCCAGATATTTTGATAGACATTCAGCAAATAGTATATCGGATTCAGATGATGGCGTTAATTCTTGTGTTTCTATGGGTACCAGCACATACAGGAGTGAAAGGAAATGAAATGGCAGACAAGAAGGCCAAAGACTCTGCAAAGGGAAAAGAAATTAATGTAAGCGTATCATTTAGTAAGTCAGAGACTAAAAGTATTATTAAAAGAAAAATGAGAGAAAAATGTCAGAAGCAGTGGGAAGAGGATGTAAAAGGAAGAGGCTCTATAGAATTCAAAGGAAGGTTGGAGGAAATAGAAGAGGTGTTGGAAGAAATAGATTAGAGGAAAGAATAATAACTGGGCTACGGTTAGGTCATTCAGGACTTCATGCAACGCTACATGTAATGGGGAAACATGACACAGGAAGGTGTGAGTGTTGTGGGGAAAGTGAAACTATAGAACATGTAATGTCTGTCTGTAGGAAATACCAGAAAGAAAGAACAGAAATGATGACGAGTCTTGAACGAGAAAAAGAACAGTATAATCTTTTACACTTATTAGGGAAACAATATTTTGATGCAAGTCTTAAGATCATTTTTGGTTATCTAATAGTAACGGGGTTAATTAAAAGAATATAGTTGTTGTTGGGCAGCACGGTGGCTCAACTGGTAGAGCTGCTGCCTCTCAGCGAGCAGGTCCCTGGTTCAAACCCCGGTCCAGGGGCCCTTCTGGGTGGAGTTTGCATGTTCTCTCCGTGCGTGTGTGGGTTTCCTCCCACAGACCAAAAACATGCATGTTAGGCTGATTGGTAACTCTAAATTGTCCCTAGGTGAGAGTGAGAGAGTGAATGGTTGTTTGTCTCTATGTGTCCCTGTGATGGACTGGAGACCTGTCCAGGGTGTCCCCCACCCCTCCACAGTGATTGCTGGACATGGGCACCGGCGACCCCCGTGACCCAAAATGGAATAAGCGGGTAAAGAAAATGGATGGATGTTGTTTTTGCTTGCTAGTCCTGGTTCACACTCCTTACTGGTGGTGGCGGTAATGCACCAGAGGTTGTTTGACAACCGCCATAAAAACCAAGAAGAAGAAGTTGATGTTCCGCAGTTGGCGATGGCGGATGTTGTAGAAAATGACAGCATGAAGAATTATAAAATAGCGTCTGAGAAAATAAGCCCGGAGGCCTGTCGCTATCCTTTCTGTGTCGTCTGGACCCCCATCCCCTTTTTATCGTGAGTTACTGTGGACGCAGCCATTATCAGCTCGGCGCCATCATGGTGCAACATTTGACTCAGTCCGCTCTGTGTAGTGAACATGAACTGAAATGGAAACGAGTTTACTTGCATTTATCACATTTACAGGATTAAAGGAAGTAAAACAGATGTGATTTAAAAAATATAAAACAAGTACAACAAAATCCTGCAACAGCAAACATGGCTCGAGACTTGAAGCTGGCATGACGAAATAGAAATACAAGCAAATAATAATGTAAAAATATGTTTTGGGCAATTTACAATAGAAATTTGTTACAGAGTATTTTAGTCTTTAAGGCTTTTGCATTGGTACAATACTTAAAAGTGGACAAATACGAAGAAATATAAGTAAAAAAACGGTAAATCTGGGTTTTAACATGGAAAATTTACAGCTGTGGATGTGAAATTGATCTAATATTACTGTTAAGTCTACAACAAAAACTTTCTTACTTGGAGTATCCTGATGCTGCTCAATAATCCAGGTAGAAAAATCTAAAAAAGTTCAATCTGGTCCTCTGGATGTTCAAAAAACAAAACAAAGCAAAATGACTTGGAGTATTGAAACAGGAGAAACCAAACAGTAAAGATTTAGCATCAAATGGTAGTTCAGTTTCTAACTTTCTGTTCACAAACCAGAAAATGTTCTTCCAGAACAGCTGAGTGTGAGGACAGTCTCAGAACAGCTGAGTGTGAGGACAGTCTCAGAACAGCTGAGTGTGAGGACAGTCCCAGAACAGCTGAGTGTGTGCGGACAGTCTCATAACAGCTGAGTGTGAGCACAGTCTCATAACAGCTGAGTGTGAGGACAGTCTCATAACAGCTGAGTGTGAGGACAGTCTCATAACAGCTGAGTATGTGAGGACAGTCTCATAACAGCTGAGTATGTGAGGACAGTCTCAGAACAGCTGAGTGTGTGAGGACAGTCTCATAACAGCTGAGTATGTGAGGACAGTCTCATAACAGCTGAGTGTGTGAGGACAGTCTCATAACAGCTGAGTGTGTGAGGACAGTCTCAGAACAGCTGAGTGTGAGGACAGTCTCACAACAGCTGAGTATGTGAGGACAGTCTCATAACAGCTGAGTGTGTGAGGACAGTCTCATAACAGCTGAGTGTG